GGTTTGGCGGCTGCAGGCCGCATCCTGAACTTCTGACTGATTAGATTTAGGAGAGGGAAGGAAGGATGTCTAATTGTTTAATTTCCACAATTATAAAGAATATTTATAACTAATGAGAACCGGTGGCAGCAATTAGGCTGTGATTAACGCCGTGCTACACTTCATCAACAGCCCTTCGCTTGTGTCGCCTTATTTATTTATTTTCACCCCCAAAAAATCCATTTTCAGGGGCATCGCTGCCAATAATGAATCATGCTCCCATCCCCGCCGGCGCAGGACTCATTAATCCGCTTGTGCTGCTCGTTAAGGGGACAGTGCTGCGCAGAAAACGTGGCCACCGGACTCCGGCGAGAGGGAATTCCCTTTCAGCGGATCGGAAACCAAAGCGGAGCTAAAAAATCCCAATGTCCCTTCCCGCGTGCATGGTCAGGAGCTCCGGGTGCAGGCCGGCCGTGCGTTCCCGCCTCTCCGTCCGTTCTCCCCGCGCAGGCACCGCGGGGCAGGGGGGTCTCCGTTGGCTTCCCCTCCCCTCGGTTCCAGGTCAGCCGAGCACTTGAGCGTCGGCGTAATCGTGTATAAACGGCTGTTCCCATCGAGGAATTCCCCTTCTCAGGAATTCCTTCCCGTTCCCAAATGGACTTGGCCTTCCACGCTAGCCCCCCGGCTCCCAACCGCTGGCTTTGACTCGGGAAGGTCCCCACCGCCCGCGCCTGCCCGCGGGATTTCGTCCCTCCCAGCATCCCTCCTCGCCGAGGCCCAGAGCCGCATCCCGGGATGTCCCGGTCCCACAGCACCTGCAGCGTCACTGGGGGGGGGTTATTGCGGACAGAAACACCCCCCACCCTCACCCAGGGTTCGTTTTCAAGCCACCTAAGTGGCTCCTGAACGGGGTCCTTGGAGGAATTCCCTGGGGATGCATTAGCAGGGGTGGTGCCCAGCGTTCCCTTGGCTCAGCCCCTCTGTCCCAGGTGTGGTGAGTTCCTGGGATGTGCCGATCCCAGGGCACCTGGTCCTGCTCCTCCCTGCTCTCCTTAAAACCTGCTGAGGTGGGCTGGGGGGTGTGTTGTGTTGCTCTGTGGCCTGGTCAGTGCCTGGTGACTTCCATCCGGAGGGGCAGCTCGCTCATGGATTAGTTGGGATGCTGCGGGGAGTTATGAGGCAACGTTCCGAGCGGAGGTGCTGCCGGCAGACGCGGTCCCAAAACCGGCTGGTTGACGCGTGCTGTGAGTGCTTTAAGGTGTTTGTGGGGTGTTTCCCGGGTGGGTTGTTGCAGGCTGGGAAAAGGCGGCTCTGATGGTAAAACAAGGAGCTGCGTTTCCCATTGGCGGGTTAACTCTGTCGTCCGTGGGTTCTCCTGGCGGCTGTTGGTCCACAGCCTCCGGGAAGGGCCGGGTTACCGGAGGCCTGTGTGGAGAAGGGGCCGGGAAGCTTTAAGCTCGGAATTGGTTATTTGCGGGGATTTGTGGCTATGCTTGGGGTGTTGTGATTGTCTGCGGAGAGCAGGATTGGGGCTGGGGAGGGATGAGCCTGGCGGGGGTAAACCAGGGGGTAGAGTGTCGGCCGCGCTTCCAGGAGGAAGGTGTGTAAAACCGGGGCGGAGTGGGTTTAGGGGGAGGCTGTGCCGATCCCTCGGAAGCTGTGGCAGCAGCCCCATCCCTTGGGGGCCGTGGCCGTATGCGGCGAAAGGGAGATGAGGTTCCTGGCGGTTTGTGCCGTCCAAGGGGCTGCCGGGAGCGAGCTGCGAGGGATAGGCCATGGGCAGGAGATCCAGCAGCGAAGCGGGGAGCTGGGGCTGGGTGGAGAGGACTTATGCCGGAAAGGTCTGGTGGAAGCTGTTTTGCATCACCTTTCCATGGAATTCTCTCCGGAGTTAATGACACAAACTCCATTGCAACTCGACGCTGAAATATTTGACCTATTTTTCTACTTCTAAAGCTCCCTGAAAAACTTGTGGCACCATCAGAGCTTCCTGTACCTCTGGTTTTCAGGAGGAGGGAGTAAGCTGTTGGTTTGTGACTCGCTTGCCGTTGCACCGAGTACCTACTTACTGCTTTTTCCCCCGTAACCTGTGCATGCGGCACTCCTCTGCTGCAGAAGGCCGAGAGACACCGAGCGATCGCCGAGCCCGCTTGATCCGCGCAAGGCTCAGCTGTGCGTGCGGCATCCGGCTGGCAGCAGAGCTCATCAGCCCGCGGGCGGTTTAAAGGCTCGTTACCGTACATCTGTGCCGTCAGTGATTAGTAAGTCACGATCCCGAAAAGCTTGGGGCATGGTCTGCATCCGTACTGCCTCCCGCCGAAGCGGAGGAGTTGGGTTGGGTTTTGGATGAGCGGGCGCCGCAAGAAGCGGCGGTTATCGAGCAGGAGCCGTGCTCTCCCTTGGCTTAGCCCTGCGTGATGTAAAAGAAGAAAGGAATGGCTCCGTGTCGGGAAGCCGGGCATGGCTTTCCATGGATGGGGATGCAGAGGCCCCTCTGCTCTGCGGCGTTGCAGCACCCCACGGGGCCGTGCTGGCCGGCCATGCCTCATGAGGGAGAGGAGGGCGCGTTCTCCGGTGTGCCCGGACAAAGCGAGCCGGGAAGGCAGCAGCTCCCGCAGGGAACAGCTTAAACTCCAAACTAGTTTTAAAGCCGGTGTTGGAGCTCCGCGGTGGCTGCAGCTCTGCGCCTTCCGGGGCTGGTGAGAGCTCCGGGCTCCTCGTGGCGTTCTTGGTAGCAGCGAACTGAGCTCCGCTAATCGCGCTCTACGCGCGGCGGG